AAGCTGGAAAAATCACCCAAGGTGTGGCGGATCTGGAGTCATGGGTCAGTATCGTTGATCCGACCCCCCTCCCCCTCCCCCTCCCCATCCCCATCCCCTTCGAGACCCCCCCTAAATTACACCCCCAGTTTGGGATACGCCCCTCGAAACCCGAAGGATACGGCCTACATCCCCAACTAGGGGGGGAAATCGGCCAGTGGGACCGAGGCCACGCCGCTGGAGACGGGGATCGGTCAAACGATGCTCAGCGGGGGCCCCCCACGGCACCCGCCCGTCACCCGCCCGCACGCTCGGTGCTGGGCCACCGAGAAGGCCGCGCACCAGAGGCCGCGCCTGCCCGGGGCCCCTCTCTGCGTGCCGCCGGGAGGTGTCCGTCCAGCTCGCCGCGGACATCCTCCAGGACCAGTTCGGCGAGGTTCAGGAGGGAGAGAAGCACACAGACACAGTCAATCGTCGACTCCCAGGACAGATGGGAAAATATGGGAAGTTGGGGGGAAGACGAAAACCCAGGAAATATGTGGAAATATAGGGAATCCTGTTATTCGTGTCTATTTATTTGTGTGTCCCTGGGCCCCTTCAGAGGTGGTCGCCAAGGTGGGCACGATCCTGCTCGAGCGGGGCGAGCTGACCCGGCAGGACATCCTCCGCTTCCACGCCCAGGGCCTGCGCTCGGGGCGCTGCAGCCTGCTCGCCGAGGAGGAGCCCCTCGGGCCCCCCAGCGTGAGGAACGCGCTGCTGGTGCTGCTGCAGCACGGCCTGGCCTCGCACCGGCCGCACCCGCAGGCCAAGGGCCGCGGCCAGCAGGCGGAGACTGGCGGAGGGGCGCGGCTGTATTGCCTGGACATTGAGGAGGTGCTGGCGCGGCTGCGGTTCCCGCAGTTCCTGGAGTATACCTACTTCGTCTACGGTGTGCCAGCGTTCCATCTCATGAACGTGCTGTTCAGGCACGGCCGGGCGTGCATGTCCTTCGCCATCGCCGAGGCGCGCCGGTACTCGCAGGAGGACCAGCACGGCCTGGACGCGGAGGACCTGGAGCGCATGATCCGGAGGCTCGTGGAGGACAAGCTGCTCGCAGAGGTCCAGCCGTGCAGCGGCGGCGCCGGCTTCTCCGTCGAGGCAGCAGGCGACGAGCCAGCCTCGAAGCGCCCGCGCGGGCCGGGCGGCGGCGACGGCGGCGGCGAAGACCCGGGGGGCCAGCTGGTGCCATTGGCATACGGCTCCGTGGCCCGAGAGACGGTCTACCGATATGGCCGGCACGCGTACAACCTGTGCCTCAGCAAGAATCTGCTCTGCCGGCTCGTCGAGGACCGCCTGGGGCCCGAGCACGCGGCTCTGCTGGAGGTGCTGGGGAAGGCCGTGTCGCCCTCCGAGAGCGGCGAGGCGGCGTCCCAGTACAAGACCCTCGCGGAGGTGGAGGCGGAGCTGAGGCTCACCGAGCACAACCTGGAGGGCGAGGGGCTGCGGAGGAAGCTCGACCTGCTGTCCGCCAACGCCGAGAGCCTGCTGGTGAAGCGCATGGGGCGGCGCGGGGCGCCGCTGGCCGCCGCGGACCCCCGGGCGGCCAAGCGGGCCAGGGCGGGGGAGGGCGCGGCGGCGGCGGCGCCAGACTTCGAGTACGCCGTGGAGTGGACGCAGGCTTGCCGGCAGCTCCGGCTGGCGGCCACGTCGCAGGTGATCCGCGAGCAGTTCGGGCCCATCGGCCTGCGCATGTTCAACCTGCTGACCTCGCGGCACCCGCCGCAGAAGATGGAGGACAGGGACATCTTCAGCTGCTGCATGGTCCCGGAGGCCGAGGGGCGGGCCCTGCTGCACAAGATGGTGGCCCACGGGGTCGTCGACACCCAGGAGGTGCCCAGGAGCGAGACCTCCTCCTTCAAGGCGAACTTCTGGCTGTACTACGTGGACATGCGGAGGCTCCAACTGGCCATCCTGGACATCGTGATCCAGGCGATCCTGAACCTCCGCGTGCGCTTCCGCGTGGAGAACGCGAAGGTCGCGCCGCTGGAGAGCCGGGCGGCCAGCCTCACGGCCAGGGAGCGGACGACCCTGCGCGAGGGCAGGCGCAAGGAGGACGTGTTGGAGAGGAGTTACCTCGTCCTGGATGCTGCGGTTTTGGTACTCAGGAGTGGGTACATGCTCTTCCTCCTCCTCCTCCTTCCTCCTCCCTCCTCCTTCCTCCTCCTCCTCCTGCCTCGCCTCCTCCTCCTCCTCCTCCTCCTCCTCCTGCCTCGCCTCCTCCTGCCTCTTTACTCCCCCACATTCCTTCTCATTTCTCCTCTTCCCCCGCCTCGCTCGCTCGCTCGCTTCCCTCCTCCTGTCTCCTCGTTCTCTTCATCTCATCCCCCCTTCTCTCCTCCTCCTCATCCTGCCCATCTATCCTCCTTGTTTTCGAACCTCTTCGCTCATTACCGCCAGCCAATATTGCATCACTTTGGGCAGTTACCTGCAGTCTCGTGGGGGCCGAGAGGGTGCCAGGTGGCGGGAGTGCCCCCTCTCGGAG